AGTGACCTGTGGGTGGAGCACCTTTCCTGAGGTGAGCCCATCCTCCAGAACAGGGGTCTCCAACCTTGGGTTGAAACCAGTGGTCTCCTCAGCCACTGAGAGTCTGAACTTGTTATTAAAGGACATTCTCATTTAAGCTTGTCTCGGCATTCGTTACTGGACGGAGGAGGGGGTCAGAACAGACGTTTACCCAGGGTTCCCAATAAGAAATGTTGACATCTCCCAGCCCAAATCCCTTTATTTGATACGTGACTTACTCATAACCACTGAGACCCAACAAAGAAAAAGAAAGAAGATTAAAAAAAAAGAAAACCCACCTGAGATTAACGGTATTTTGTTCATGCACCAGAATGAAAATAACATTTTCATAAGCAAAAGAAGGGATGCCGTATTTTTGCAGCTGCTCCCACAGGAGACCCACCTGCTCCGTCCCCCACACAACTGAGACGGGTTTCTGTTTTTTTAAGAATGGTGCAAAAACAACGAGCTACAAGTAAGAAAGCGGAAATGGAAAAAAAACGGGGGGGAGGAAAAAGGTTTTGTTCGTAATGCCATATTTACACTCTTCCTGGACTAGCAGAAACATTGTCCGTAGCTGTCCGATTCAGAGGCGAGTAAAGAAGCGTGTAAGTTTACACACTAGTTGTTTTTTCACCGCTGCAGCTGTTGACCAAGATCTCCGGGGTCCCCACGTGTATTTCCAAGGTCGCCTCCATCTCATCCAGCTCCGTGCTGTTGAGTTCATGGCGGTAACTGTTCAAGTTGAGGTCCTTCCCGTAGAAGGCCGTGCAGGAGACGTTGGGGCATTGGCTCTGCAGCTGGGAGGCCCTCTTGCTGCTCTCGTACCGGCAGCGGATGTAGTTCGAGAAAGCCCTGCGGTAGATCTTGTTGAAGAGTGTGTAGACCAGGGGGTTGACCCCCGAGCAGATGTAGCCCACCCAAACAAAGACGTCCAGCAGCTCGCGGAGGACAGCCTGGTCACAGGCGTCCTGGCAGAGGACGGACATGATGTTAGTGATAAAAAAGGGGCACCACATAATCAGGAACAAAAAGAAGACGATCCCCAGGACCTTGGAGGCCCGCCGTTCGTTGTTGATCGACTGCATGGTGCCTTTCCGGAAAAGGACCCCTTCTCTGTTAACCGGAGAGTTTAAGTGGGAAGCCGCCTCGTGGTTCTGCAGCATGGAAAGGTTCTCCACGTTGGGGTCCTTCTTCAGACAGCTCATGCTGCTCCTCCTCGGCTTGAGGGGCTCCCCGTAGAGGAAGAGAGAGGCCTGCTTCTGCAGGACCTGGATGGTCAGGCAATAAGCCACCACCATGATCATCAGGGGGATGAAGAACGCCACGAAGGAGCCGATGAGGACAAAGTTTTCGTCGTTCAGGACGCAGCTCCCGTTCACAAAGACCCGAGAGTCGTCTTGCAAGCCGATGACTGGGATGGGCAGGGAAATACCTGAAGGAGAAGACATGCCAAGAAGAAGGACCATCAAGAGAAGCAGACATGGAGAAAAAGGCTGCTGCTTTCATTGGACTGGTGACCGGGCCTTGAGGACTTATGATTTGGGCATTGTCAAGAGTTGACCAGTCCCACCAGAACTTCCTCTGTTAAAGGAAGTGAAGGTGTCCAGGGGCAACTGGGGAAAGAGTGACTTTGTGTCATTTTAAAGGTAAAGGTTCCCCTCGCACAGATGTGCTGGTCGTTCCTAACTCTAGAGGGCAGTGCTCATCTCCGTTTCAAAGCCAAAGAGCCAGGGCTGTCCGAAGACGTCTCCGTGGCCATGTGGACGGCATGACTAACCGCCGAAGGCGCATGGACCACTGTTCCCTTCCCCCCAAAGGTGGTCCCTATTTTTCTACTTGCATTTTTACATGCTTTCG